AAGCTTTTCTTAGGACAGATCTAGATAGAGTGATTAATCATCCAAGCCTGCCTGGGACTAAGGTTCCCAGGACATGGGACTTTCATTTACAAACCAGAGCTGAGGGGTTTCTGAGAAACAGGACTTTCAGTTTTAAACTTGGGAAAGCCCCTAGCAAACTAGGACAAATGAAACATCCTGTGTTTCGCACATACTGTAGCCCAGGCCTAATTTAGCCCCAGCACTAAATTTTGGGGATCCTGCTCACATCCAAGGCCTTAACACGCTTAGCGGTTGAGAACAGGACCTAGCCCCAGCCTGTGTGAGTTCTGCAGAGTGTTGAGTCTACTGTTTTGGGATGGTTCTTTTCCTGACCTTCAGCAGTTTTCTTTCATGCATGCTCAGATCAGTACTCAGCCAAAGACTTACAGGTCCCCCTGGAGGTCTTTTTCTGTGTAGTTCCATCTTCTCCCATATTCTGTCCTGCACATTCTGACTGCCTTGGCCTCGCAGAACTCTCATCTCGGAGTCCTCAGCTCAGTGAGTCGGCCGAACTCTGTTGGCGTTCACCCACGCTGCTCCACGGCCTGGAACCTGCCTCCCGGCAGTCAGCAGCTGGGGTAATCACAGGGACAACGCCATTTGTTTCCTTTTTGCAGGGGTGATAGTCCTGTCATGCCTGTTGTCCACTGTCTGAACACTGTTACTTAATATATTGTGTCTGTTTTTCTAGTTGTTTAAGATGAGAGTGTAAATATGGTCCGTGTTACTTTGTTGTAGCCATAGGCAGAAGTCTTTACTTTGTATAACTTATATCTCAATATTTTAAAAATTATGTTAAGCTATTTGAAGGGGTTGCTCTTTTTCAGGTTACGCCATTTTTTGTACATTCAGTTTACTATTATGAAGACAATGAAATATTAGAAAATAATAATGGCAACTTTGCCAAGATCCTCCTTCTGTGTCTCAGCCCTCTGCTGGGTGCTTCATATACATTATCTGGAGTCTTTACAAAAAACTTCTAAAGACAGATGTTATTGATAGTGTTATCTCCATTTTAGAGATGTCAAAGCTGAGACTCAAAGCAGTCAGTCACTTGACCAAACTCATCAGCTGGCATATTGCCCTGCTTGTATTTGAATGCGGTCTTTCTGAATGTTCATTTATCCACAGCACAGTGCTTGATGTGCAGTATTAATAAAGACATCACAGAAGGAAACAGTGGGGGCCAATATGTTTTTGAGGTCAAAAGATTAATGCAGAAATTTTAAGTGACTCTGATGATAATATTTTACAATATAAGTGAATAGCTGATGTTTTACTGTGTGTGTGTTGTGTGTGTGTGTGTGTGTGTGTGTGTGTGAGAGAGAGAGAGAGAGAGAGAGAGAGAGAGAGAGAGAACACATGTGTGTGCATGCACATGCGTATGTGTTAGGTGGGAGTGGGTAAAGGAGCCTTATCTAACCACATTGACCCTCTTTGAACCCTGATGCCTGTGCATGCAACACTGAAATTGCATTTAATTCCCTAAATTATCGTATTAGTTTCCAAAGACTGTCATAAGAAATCACTCCCAACTTGGTGGCTTAAAACAACAAAAATGGAGTGCGAGCTCTGAGCAACAGGTTCGCTGGTTCCATTCACAGCCCAAGCTGAGCTGCCAACAGGTGACAGGATGGCTCAGCTAAAACAAAACAAAACAAAACAAAAAAAATGGGTTCTGTCACTGTCCTGCAGGCCAGAAATCTGAACTCAAGGTGCCGGCATGTCTGCCACTCCCTCTGAAGCCTCGGGGGCTTCCTTCCTTGCCCCTTCCAGCTCCTGGTAAGTCCTGGAGTTCTTGGCTTTTGCAGTGCAACTCCAGTTTCTTCCACCGTATCCACATAGCCTTCTTTTCTGGGTCCCTCTCCCCTTGTCTTCTTTGTAAGAACTTGTCATGGGATTTAAGCCCTCCCCCCACTTAATCCAGGGTGATCTCATCTTGAGATCCTTCATTACATCTGCAAAGACCCTGTTTCCAAAAAGTCACATTTGTGGGTATCACCAGGTAGGGTATGGACATATTAATATTTTTTAGGGGGATACAATTCATTTGCTACAGTTTCTCTAAGGGTTCGTTCAGGGCCTTTCAAAATTGGCTGCTCTTTAAGATGCTATCAGGAGGACCACCCTGCTCTCTGCAAGAAGTGGCTTGGATCCTTGTGTTCATCCCCATGGTTGTGCAGGTTTTCAGAAATTTACGTACAGAAGAGTTCCCTTTCTTTGCTACCCTAACTCTGTATGCTCAACCCAACAGAGAGGCCTTGCTACCCTGCAACCCAGGCATTTACCTCCTGTGATTACTCATAAACCGTGACTGGGAAATAACTCTAGACAACCCAATCTGAACACGATGACCTTGTATCTTGTATGTGCAAGCCTGAGGGTGTCTGCTCTCCAGGTAGCTTTCTTTCCACTTGGGCAGTGAGGCAGCCTCTGGGTCTTTGCCACCTTTGAGTCGAAAATTCTACCATCCAAGACTCTGATTCACTCCCTTTCTTTATATAGTGGGTGCCCAGCTATCCTGTGTTGAAACTGCTAACGTCTTTTTCTCTGCAAACATAAGCAACCCCTTTTCTTGCGAATGCTTCTTTGTGATCGTGCCAAGGAAGCATCTTGAACACGATGGGACTGCATTTTTAAGGCATTAGACTTAATAACGAGGTCGTTACCACTATTTACGAACCTGGCCTCATTAACAGGGCTCCTCGCTTTTCACCTGACTCCAGCATAGTGAGGTTATTAATTAGAGCAAGAGACATAAAGCACTCGGGATTGTTTTAAGGCCATCTGGGGAGATGGCTAGGTCTTTGGTCATAAATCCTGTTCAGTGTTTCCAAAGTTTCCATGAAATGATAGTTCCCTTCAATGTAAACTTGTTTTTCTCTTTAAATGCGTTATTTTTAGGTTCCCAAAAGTCTCAGTTGTAATCCACCCAGTGCCTTATTCAGCTGAACAGTGGGGGGCAGTGGGAGGTAGCAGTGAAAAGCTGGAGCCAGACTGCCCGTGTTTAAATCCTGGCTCTGCTTCGTACTGTGTGACACTGTGCAAGTTATTTCATCCCTCTCGGCCTCCGGTTTTTTTTGTTGTTTTTTTGTTTTTTAAATCTGGACAAGTGCGAGGATTAAATGAATACATACGTGGAAAATGTTTAGGAGAATATCTGGCACACAGTGAGTGTTTTATATATGCGAGCAATTATTTTTATTTATTAAATCCAAAGAAATAGCTTTTGGGACCTACTGTGTATAAGGCACAGCTTGGCTCTCTGTACTTTCTAGGATGGGGTTACAGGTTGGATTGTGCCTCCCTAAAATTTATATGTTGAAGCTCTATCCGCAGTACTTCAGAATGAAGGGATCTTATTTGGAGATAGGATTTTTTCAGAGGTAACCAAGTTAAAATGAGACCATGGAGCGGGCCCTAATCCAGTACGACTGGTATCCTTAAACAAAGGGGAATGTGGACACAGAGACACACGTAGAGGGAAGACATGATGAGACACGAGGAGGGAGAAGACAGCCGTCTACAAGCCACAGAGCGAGGCCTGGAACGGGTCCTTCCCTCATAGCGTTCAGAAGGAACCAGCCCTACCGACACCCTGATTTGGGGCTTCTAGCCTCCAGACGATGAGAAAAGAAATCTCTGCGGCTTGAACCACCTAGTGGTGGGACTGTGTTATGGCAGCCCTAGGAAACGAAGACGGATGATTCGAACATCAAATTGCTATCCCCAGAGGGAGCATATAATCTGGTAGGAGGGAGGTATTTCATAGGACTCTAGTCACAAGCAACAGAAATACACTAAATTATGCTTAAACGGATAGTAAAACAAAGGTGAACTTATAAGGATACAGAGGCGTCTCCTAAAATCTAAGGGCAGGATTATAGCGGGCCCATAATCATCAAGAGAACTCCCATCTCTTGCTGCTGCCACTCTGTGCTGCCTGTGGGGTCTCTCTCTCTCTCTCTCTCTCTCTCCCTCTCTCCCTCTCTCCCTCTCTCCCTCTCTCCCTCTCTCCCTCCCTCTCTCTCTCTCTCTCTCTCTCCCTCTCTCTCCCTCCCTCTCCCTCTCTCTCTCTCTCTCTCTCCCTCTCTCCCTCTCTCCCTCTCTCCCTCCCTCCCTCCCTCCCTCCCTCCCTCTCTCTCTCTCTCTCTCTCTCCCTCTCTCCCTCTCTCCCTCTCTCCCTCTCTCCCTCTCTCCCTCTCTCTCTCTCTCTCTCCCCTTCTTCTTCCTCTTCCCTTACGCCCTCCCTTTCCCTGGTTTTCTGTGCTTCCCCAGTCCAGATGGCAGAAAACATAGTCCTTATCACACCCAGGTTTGTGTATTAAAGAAACAACCCCCTAGACAAAACTGTATGAATTGCTCGGCCGATTCTAATTCTAGTGGAAGGGCATCTATTCCTCCTCTCTGGGCCCGGGGCCACCCCATCAGCCATGACCAGGGCAACAGCACTTCACTGCACAGACAGGGTGCTTCCACTGTAGCCATGGGACGGAGTGAGGGGAGGGGCCATGACTCAAAAAGGGAACGGATGGCAGAAAACCTGAGGAGGGTTCTGTTAGCAGCGTTAAGTGACCACATAGCTACGATGCCACACCATGGCTAGCAAGGAGCTGAAGGAGTCTAGAGAAAACGTTACATTGAACAGCACTTGGCCTCTTATAGTCCTGCAGCATCTGCCCCCTTCACGAGATAGAAATCAGCAGTGGTTAAAAGCATGGACCCTAGAATCAGAGACACGTGGATTTCAATTCAACTTTGCCTTTGATTAATTATGTAACCTTGGACGTGCCAGGATGCCTCTCTGCACCTCGGTTTCCTCATCTTTCAACAAGGGAAGTAAATAATATTACCACCTTTCTAAGTTTCAGGTGAGGTATAAATGTGTGCTTGGCACATATACGTGCCCCGTAACTGGTAGCAGTTATTAGCATCATTAGTATCTGATGAACCCTTTTCTGTTTTGCTTTCTCCTTCAGGCTGAATTCTCAGAATTGAACCTCGCTGCCTATGTTACTGGGGGCTGTATGGTGGACATGCAGGTCGTGAGGAATGGGACCAAGGTTGTGAGGTAAGTACTGAGATACAGAAATCTTCCGCCGAGAGGCGCGCGTGGGATACCTCGCATAGCCAAACCGTCTGTCTGTGACCTTCAACCCAGCTCCTCCATTATCACTTGTACTTTCCCATCCAGCAAGTCTGCTTCTAAAGAGTTCTAGGTGTTGTTGCAAGAGGAATGACTAGTGGCACAAATAATATGAAGAAGCAGTGGTGGGGTCCTAGAATGAGCCCTGGGCTTGGAGAGAAAAGACTTGGGTTCCGTTTCCGGCTTTGTGGCTCTATTTGAACATATTATGTCGTCTCTTGCCCTCTGACTCTCATCAGCAGCACGAGGATAGCAACACTGAAGTAGGAGACGCGCATGTGAGAGTACCCTATTCATTGTAAAGTGCTGCACAGATGTAAGGGTGTATTAGAACAAGCTACCTCCCGCTTTCGGCAGCATGGCAGACCGAGTAGTTGGAGAACCCCCTCCCAGGACGTCAAACCTAAAAGGACTGGATATGACATTTCCCAAGAAATCTGTTTATAATATAGGCTGAGCTGGAAGGGAAGGGAAGGAGTTCTTCAAAAGCCCAGGAATGTCAAGAAAGTAGAAATCCATAGGAGAGATAAATAGTAAATAGTTGTAGTAATATATTTTTATCTAGTTAAGCCACCCGGAGGATGATACAAACTTAAGTCCTGGGAGGGTTTAGATGGGGAAGAAATAGGATTAGAGAAAACAAGGTTCAGATTTGGAGAAGTAGAGAAAACAGGGAGAACTTTGAAAAAAAGGTGGCATTTTTTCTGAGCCTTGTCAATTGGTGTAATATGGGCATTTCATGCACTCTAAGAGTAGGAAATAGTCTTTGTAAATGCAGACAAACAAACAAACAAAAAAAGAGTATGTCTTAGAAAGTATGATAACTCAACTAATTCAGCCATCATTTACCGAGTGTCAACCTTGTGCCGAGAAAGATATTATGTGGCTTCCTAGTTCCAATAATGGTGGGCTAGATTATTTGGACTAACTCTCCTACTGAAAATAACTTAAAAGTTTATTTTAAATAATCTTCAAAGCCTTGCAAGAGAAATTACCAGGAAGAGACTAATGGGGAAATAGGAACAATGAGATAAATGAGTACAAAAGCTACCCTTTTTCCTGAGAGTATTTCCTAAGTCTGTCAAATTTGAAAATTGGTTTTGATGGCCTATCAGGAGCAAGGGAGATAGAAATCAATACCCAGGGGGACTCAAGGTAGGGAATGTAATGGGACCCTCCCCAACAATAAGCTGAGACCCAAAGGACTGTGTCATCAAGATGAATGTGAAATTACAAGTAGATGAACCCTCATGAGTAATTGCAGATTGAATGGCAGTTTTATTGGTCTTCCAGGAAACCTCAAGCATTAAACTTGGCTTATGGTGTTCCCAGACACGTCAGAAATAGAGGCAAATCCTATGGAGAGGAAGGCACTTTTATCCTAGGCCTCAAATAATTACTCATATAATCTTTTTTGCACAATAGCTAGCATGTAGTCAAAGATAACCAGGCACAGGCATCATGAGTGAGAAGGATCAGGAACAATAGACAACAGAAAGAGACCCTCCCATCTCAGATATTGGAATTCCCAGACACAGATTCTCAAAAGAAAAAAATCATACATCATGATCATAAATAATGATCAGGTTTGAGGATATCTACAGGGAATAGTAAACGATAAAAAGTGACACAACCAATTTTTTTTTCAAAAAAGAGAACTTCTAGAAATAAAAAATACAATAACTCAACCAAATCATTGGATGTGTTGTGTTTAACACAGCCTATTAGACACCATGGAAAAGGTGTGAATAAAGTGAAATGTAGAGCTGAAGAAATTATCTCAAAGCACAGAGAAAAAGACTGGAAGTTCAGAAGGGATGGTTCGATCTCATGAGAAGGTCTAACATTGACTTAATCAGAGTCTCAGAAAGAGAAGCAAAAGAGAATGGGACAGAGGCAGAAGAAACAATGACTCAAAATCCTTCAGCAAGATATCAAACCACCAAAAACAGAAACTCAAAAGATTTAAAGCAGGATAAATAAAAAGAATTCTACACCAAGACACAATAGTGTAAGTGCAGAAAGATGATACAAGAAAAAAGTACCCAGAGAAGAAAAGGCAGCTTGCTTTGATTGAGCTGGCAGACGGACAGTCGGTTCCCAGGCAGCAGGGGTGGAGTGGTACCTTCAGGGGCCACAAGAAAATCACCAACAACCTATAATTCCGTCCTCAGGGAAACATCTTTTATGATTGAGGGCAAAATAAAAACATTTACAATGAGAAGACCCTCAATACGGGAAATTGTAAAATATGTGCTCTAGGCAAAAAGAAAACAATCCCCAAATAACAGAGCTGCAAGGAGAATGAAGAACAAAGAAGGCGGTCAAATGTTAATAAACATTGTTTTCCTAATAATAATAATAATAATAATAATAATAATAGGATTAAAATATACAGCAATAAGTTAGTAGGGGCTGGGAGTAAATAAAGGAAAGTCATTGTATTGATTAATAACAGGCTTTGAAAAGTCAAAGATGAATGATGTAATTTCTGGGTAATTACTGGAAAAAAAACCCCAGAATGTAGTATTTTAAAAGTGCAAAAGAGGAAAAAAGCAATAAAAACAGAAGCCAAGACAGGTGAGAAATACTAACCTAGAACAGGCATGATGAATAAGAGGGTAGACTTAAACCCCAATACATCAGCAGGCTGATATCATTGTGAATGGTTTGTACAGTAGTACTGGTTTTTAAAATATGGGAATTTTTCTGGACAGGTTGATAAGTAGCCTCTGCCCTGAGCCCTCTGAATGCCTTCAGCCACCCTCCCCCCATGGATGGGCATGGACCCCAGTTCACCACACTACTATCCCCTAGTCCATATCTGTTCCTGCCGGGGTCAGAGGATGCCCACAATTGTAGGGGAGACACACCCTTGGAAGCAGTGGTGGAACCCCAGAGAGCCAACGCTTTGTTCCCTCTGTCCCTTCAAGGCTGCACATGCCTATGAGTCCTCTGGTCTTGCTCTCTCATGGTCACTTGTGAGAAGTGCAACCTCCCCAAGGTACCCTACGAGCTAAGTATTTATCATATCACCAATATATATCAGTAATTACATTAAATGTAAATGGACTAAAATGCTCTAATTTACAGAGTATCTATGTAAGATTGCCAGAGGATATTTTTAAAAATCCACCTATATTCCATTCAAGAGATTCATCTAAAACATAAGAATACAGAAAGTGTGAAACTTAAAGGATTGAAAAATATATATACCATGTAGCTACTGGGCAGAAGAAAGCTAGCCAATGTAGCTATATTAATATTAGGGAAAATAGACTTCCAGATGAAAAGCATTACTAGGGAAGAGAAAGAAATCCATTATGATAAAAGATTCATTTACCCAGGAGAGATCATTTTAAACTTACAAGCACCAAATAAAACTTCCTCGAAATATATACTTCAAAAATTGGCAAAACTACAATAAGAAATAAACCATCCATCATCTTGGGAGGTTTTGAGAGTGGTGCTAAATGCACACATTCATTTACTTCTCACAGCAGCCTCATTTTTCACAGAAGAACTGTAGAAAGCCTAAAATGCAATATTCAGGAATCTGTATATGTTCGTATTTGGGATTATTTGTGTTTATGTCCTGCTTCCTTATTTGGGAAAGGGACCGAGTCGTTTCTTTTGTAATGTGCTGAAACCAGAGCATCTATCCCAGTAATCCTCAAATTTGGCTGCAGGTTAGAATCACATGAGAAATGTTTCAGAATCCTGACGCCCAGGCAACATCCCAGACCAATGACACTAGAATCTCTGAGGGTAGGATTTGGGCATCAGCAGTTGAGAAGCTCCCCAAGGGATTCCTGTGGGCAGCCTGATGGAAGACCTCCCCAGGTTACTGTCACCTTGGCCCAGCACTGGTGCTAGGTCAGCTGTAAAACTGAGGATCCCGCTGGGTGGGCTGCCTGAACAAGAATCACTTTGCAAAAGTAGACACCCCCAACCCTTGTTGTAGATGTGCCATTTTCTTCCTGAATTTACAAACTTGTTTACAAAAGTAAATTTACGAAAATGTTCCAGGTATTTCCTAATCAGCGAGTCTCCCAGGATTTAGGAATGGCAGGCTTTGAAGACAGTTATTATGGGTTGAATTGTGTCCCCCGACCCCTCCAAAAAAAAAAAGAAAAGATGTATTACAGTCCTAACCCCTAGGACCTCAGAATGTGACCTTATTTGGAAATAGGGTTGTTGCAAATGTAATTAGTTAAGATGGGGTCATCCTGGAGTAGGGTGGGCCCTGAATCCAACATAACTGGTGTCCTTCTAAGAAAAGGGAAATTTGGACACAGAGACACAGGGAAAATGCCATGTGGTGATAGAGGCAGACGCTAGAGGATGCATCTACAAGCCAAGGGCACAAAGGATTGCCATCAGTTACCAGCAGCTAAGAGACAGGCATGGGACAAATTCTCCCTCAGCCCTCTGAAGAAACCAACCCTCCTCACACCTTAACTTCCCACTTCTAGCCTCTAATTCCTGTTGCTTTAAGCCATCCAATTTGCGGTCCTTTGTGAAGGCAGCTCCAGAAAATGAATACAGTAGTGCTTCCCACATGCGTACACACCTCCGACGCTCTTGCTAAAATGCAGGTTCTCACCCTTTCGGTGTTCAGGTGGGACCTGAAGGGTTCCAGATTTCCTACGACCTCCCAGATGGAGCCAGCGCTGCTGGTCCTGCAGAGCAGTTTGAGCAGCAAGGGTGTGGACAGGCTCTCACATGATGCTACCCTGCTGGTGGAAGAACACACCGTGGGTAGCCAGGGCTGCGCGGGCAGTGCCAGTAGAGCCACAGTCCTCCCTCCATTCAGGGATCCACAGAGCTGTCGAGATTTACTCTGTCCATGCCCAGGATGGTGCTTATAGTGTCAGCCAGGAAGCTCGTTTGGGCCAGCTTACAGACCTGTGAGAATGGGCATG